ATAGAAAAAAAAAGTCAATCTTCCTGTTCTATTTCTAAAGCTCCTTTTTCCATATAGCAGACAAAACTAAGTACTCACCTCTTACTGTATACATTACTGTATATGTATACATATTTTACACAGATATATAATCTTGTTTCTAGGGAAAAAAACATGTTCTTGATGGAAGAATAGGAAGAAAACAAATTCTACACACAAAGATGCGGTGTTTTTGTTTTAATCTTACTACTACTATGCAACATGACTATACTAATCAGCAAACTTTTAATTTCATAGTCTATAATCTGAAATGATTTAAAGGTAAAGCTCTCAGTCTTAACTCAAGTAATAGTTTTATATCTGTTCCAAATCATACTATCTTACTATTATGTGTAATTAGAATTTTACAGTGGGTCAAGACAACAGTTTAAATCATTAGTGGTCCACTGAACCAAACATGCGAAGGAACATAAATGATTTGAAAATCCTACCCAGAACTGACCAACAGAAAACAAAGCTGAAATTCCACTCGTGTATTAACAACATTGAACTTTGCTGCTTATTTTTTTCATTTATTTCAACACTACAATTAACTTCTTAAGATATAAAGATTCCCACTTGAAAAATGGGAATAGCTTTTAATAATAAAATGTTACCTATGTCACAGATAATCCATAAAGTTTTTTAAAACAGGATTTAGACCAATCATGCACAGGTGAACACTTTAAGTTCCATTTTTACTTGGACAGAAGTTTCTGGGGGGAAAAAAATCTATTTTAGTCTCTCTCAATTCCACTTAAAAGGTGCTTGTACTACACCTGTAACGATATCATCCAGGAATAGAATATAGTCTAGTATACACTCAAACATCCACAAATGAAAATTCTTAAATAAACAAATGAAAAGACATTACAAAGATCAACATTACCAGCCATGACAATAAAAGACTTGGAGGGGGGAATAGCCAGTGATCTTTGAAGTCTTTTGATCCATACAGACATGAAAGGTCATAAATGAGTGTCATCTTTCAAATCCAGTTGTGCTAGCGGACAGTATTACAGTTCCCAAGCAGAGTTTACTCCTTGGGAATTCAGCTGCCTTAGGCACCCTGAGCAAAGTCACATGAAATAGCTGCAGAAGTATATGAGAGGTGACATACAGACTTTGCCCGCACAGCCTGTTAGAAGATCATTGCTCAACTGTCTGTAGGAAGGAATGTCACCATCTACAGTGCCAATAATCTCACTCAGGACAGTCATTTGTAAAGTGAACACCTATCCATGGCTTGAAATTAATTTGCACTGACCTAAATCCATCTAAGAAGGTGATCTAATCCTCATTAGTCTTAGAAACAGAAAAAGATAATTATGACTGCCACTAATTAAAAACATAAGATTTGTTTTCATACCTGTTTTCCCAACACATAGCCACTTAAGGAAAGAACACAAGAGGCTTCCATTTCATAAGTCTTGAATGAATTTATGTGGAGCCAGTTTGCTCAGATTTAGTAACAGCAAGTGCTTGCAGGTGTAAGTCACCTCCACACATAGAGATTGGAGACTAAGAACACATTCCCACTTTTTCCCCCTCACAGACTTGCTGTTCCAAGGCAATTTTTCCACCACTGAGCTCCAGATATTCTCACTAGCATTCTTACCTGTTAAATGAAAAATTGAAGACAAAGTAGTCTCACATGAGGGGGAAAAAAAAAAGAAGTGAACATTTTTTATAGCTAATAAAGTTGCACCCCATTAATTGGTAAAAATATTTCCCACACAGAGTTATGCTATATGTTCACTAGGTTTTAAGGTCTTCGATGGAAGACATCACCTCGTGCCTTTTAACCGACAGTTTTCCTTCATCACAGAAACAAACAGAAAAAAAAAAGAAGAATGCATTCTATCACGGCACAAAAAAAACCCCTTTCTGTTCGTTACTTTTTTTTCCCCTCTCAAATACTTACTCGTATAAACTTTCATATTGCAGGTAATTCCAAATAAGTGACCTTATCAAGTCTGGAGATATCTCATAACACTGTTTATAAAGGCAGTTGATAACCAGTCTCACATGATCACCCTTGGTGAACTACTTTTACCAGGTTCTTCAAAAAGGTTACAGACATATTGCAAATATATCTTCCAGTAAGTAGAGGAAATATCACAACTGATAACATAAAAATTGAAAAAGGAAAAGCTGCTGGTGTGACTACATTAGATCAGGTCAAGATGACTGCTATCTCCGCCTTATCTGTTCTGAAAGTTGAATAGTTCTCATTACTCAAAAACATTTTTTACAAAGATCAGTAACCTAAAACTGACACCTTGGACTGGAATATACTGAGTGAGGAAACAACTTTCTTAGACCCGCAGAACACCCTTGTCATCCTTTGACCTTCCACAATGAGGCACATATCAAATGCTGTGGCAAATATATAGTGTAACTCAAACCATTCTGCAACTAGTGGGCCCAGGAATTGCATCTTAATTTGAAAGTTAACAAAAGATATGTTCTTCTGATCCAGAAGATCGAACTTAGTCTGTTAAGCCCCAAAACAAATCTAAAATATTCGGGGGCTCTGAAGAACCTTATCTTGAATAATTCTTTCTTAAAAAATGGGACCGAAATAACTTTGGCAAGTTCTGATGGGTCAACAACAATCTTAAGACAAACTTATCGGGCACACGAAGAGAGAATATGCCACCTGTAAGAAAAGTATACAGTATCTTCTGAAGTAATCTTTATGTTGAAAGTGCGCCAGTAACTGCAACGTTCAAGAATGTGAGTGCTCACTGGGCACTTTAGGCAAGAAGAAGTGGTGCTGTTGAATCACTCAAACACCAGGTCAAAGCCAAAGCTCATCAAATGACAAAGATGTTAGTTTGCAGGAAAATGGATGTTTGCCTGATTGCTAGAGACAAGATGGGGATCTACAGATGTGAAGAAGCAAGTGGAAGGTTGGAGGTTTTGAATCTAAGGGTTTGATCCACAGAGTCCTTACAGAATGGCAATAAGAAGCTGGTCAAATATATGTGCAGCATAAATAAGAGAGGCTATCTGTGCTGCTATGTGCAGCATAAAAAATAAAGGGTTAACTCAATATATTATTCTACTTCAGACTACAATTACAAAAAGAAGGTTCAAAAAAGCACTGGAAAAAATAGAAAAAGATCTTTAGAACTAAAGAATCACAGAATATGTAAAGAAAGGTTTCTAACTGTGACTTGCTCTCTGTCAAGGGACACAGAAATTGTCAGAAGAGTCTACGTGTCTCCTTTAGAGAAAGTGGCGGAGGGTTACCTCCACTGGCAATGCCTAGGTCTGAACCTGCAATTGTGAAGCCGCAGTGCTGGTTAAAAAGAGGAGAGAAGTTACTGTTTTGATATACCAACACCAGCAACATTCAAGAAACAGCAAGTTTACAGCCAATGGTGTGAAACTCATTATCAAGGCCAAAAGTCGTCTCTACTGAAATTGGAGCTATGAACCCAAAGCCTAGACTTTTAGCTTAGACTTAGTGTAGACTTTTAGCTTCCAAAAATCTGTAACTTAAACTGCTAGTACTACGGAGTAGCAAAGTCGAAAATACTTAGATTGTGGCTTTTCCATGGTTTCCATAAATCTTCACCATCTTGTCATGGTCACTCTACACACAATTTAGCAGTACTACATGATAGCTGTATAATTCACTAGTTTGTCATGTATTTCATGTTAATATATTTTACAATCATTTTTAACTGAACTGACACTTTACATTTAATATATTATACAGTAAAAATCCCCTTGAGAGGATGAAGTGGAGTTATGCAAGCATATCTAGATTTCCATTTAAATTTAGACCTTATACTATCCCACTGTCATTTTTTCTTTTAAAATACAGGAATTAGGAAGGCACGCAGGAGGAGAGAAGCAAAACAATGTTGTGTCAAAAAAAAAAAAAAATTGGATTTGCTGTTTCCACTTCTTCAAAAAGCACACCCTAAACCAAGCTGAGGGTTAAACCCCTAAATTTAAAAAGACAAAACTAAAAACAGACTATATTCTACGCAGCAATGAACAAACTACCTGGGTCATCAGCAGGATATATGCACAAATGATGTGTTACTTTTCAACACCAGCGCTAACGTTTTACTCCCAAAAATAAACATATACATTTTTAATTGCAATAGTTGTCTCTTGAAGTCCATGGAATTTAAATTATGCATATGTTTATGTTTAAATTATGTATATGTTTAACTGCTTTGCTAGATTACAAACACACTAATCATAAAACTTTCAGATTTCTGAAAAACTCAAATATTACTTGAGATTTACGTGTTATCTTCACACATGTAGTCTTAACACATTATTATATATTTAATTCAGGCCTCTGGATACCCAAATCAATAGTTAAAAATATTACCTGGATCATTATGCGAGTGAGGCACAACAAAAACCTGAAGTGGTTCACCATCCCATTCATTTTCATTGTATGTGATATCAAATCCTTGTTTCCAAACACCACCATCTGGATTATCGAAAGGAAGAATGTCATAGACATCCAACATCTAAAAAGGGAAAAAGGAATATGCAACATAAATTCACACATACATACAAGAAAGTATGCCATTAACGCTATTAAAACCACAGATGATTTTGTCAAAATCCAGTAACAATACTGTTTGTTCCTGACCCTGGGAGAGATTAATCATAAAAGCTGACATATAAAAAGAAGTTTCAAGTTAAACTAGGACAATCAAAGCACTGGCAGCTGGATAAAACCACTTGACAGATTTCATTCTGAGGTACAGACCAAAACTGATTAGATAAAGAGTTAGCAAGAGACCTGAAAGAAGCAACCAAACAGATGCCAGATCATAAAAGCACTGAGGGCCTGTAGCTTATGTACGGAGAATATTATGCAAATAGGAGAATATACTAAATAGAGAAATGTAGAAAATAGTTAGGAAAAAATAAATAGTCAGTATTAAAAGAGAATATCATTGGACTGAGGAAAAAGGCTAACAAAAAGGAAAAGAAATAAATCATCAAAAAAAATTCAGAGCTATAATGAAGAGCTATGATAAGCAGCTGTTTTTATAGCTTCTGCTGTCCAGTATATTATTTATTCAAGGAAAAATATCTTTAATTTGTGCATGCAAACAATAAGCTTACAGGTAAATAAACTCCTGTAACACTATATAGTACTCATGAAGCTCACATACCAATAGCTAACTTCAAAAACGATAACTTCAAAAAAGATACTTCCAATGTAAGCTTAAAACAAACTTGCCAGTTCTCATTTTCTTTTTTGATAAGGTTTTGCCTTCTTTCCTAAAAATATACTGAATTTCCTGAATAATAAATATGAGTAACCAGATTAAAAAAAAAATCCTATTTGGTGTGCAAAGTTTGGAAAAAGCTTGGAAAAAGCTTTGATAGGCAAAGTTTATTTCCAAGTAAGAATGTGTACTGGGTGAACAGGAGAAAACATCCGTAGTTATTGAAGATGGAGCCTATTTTACTGACTTCCAAGGCCTCATATCTGCCATTTAAAGTACTGGAAGGAAGACAAGAGAGCATTCTTAGCTGAAGAAGTCAATATCAGCGCATTTAGGGACTACTTCAGAAACAAAGTTTAAAAAACAAAGGTGATATAGCTGGTAAAAATGACATCAGAACATTCTTCCTCTCAATGGTAACACAAGAACAATCAAAACATTGGTATGACATTTAATGCATTTTCCAAAAAAAAAAAAAAAAAAAAAAAAAAAAAAAAAAAGAAAAAAAAAAAAAAAAAAAAAAAAAAAAAAAAAAAAAAAAAAAAAAAAAAAAAAAAAAAAAAAAAAAAGCAGTCTCTCTTTTAATAGATTCTGACAACTGGTCCTGTAACTAAATTCTACAGTATAGCGTTTTTTATGAATGTATTAGGAAAATAAATTATTAGGCAAGCTTTTGGAGTTACCAGTTATCATATGTTTGAAAAAGCTATCCACTGAATATGACATCCTTTTTGGGAAAAAATCTGAACAACAGGAAGACACCTACTTGAGAGAAATGTAATTTAAATATATAAAGCACACAGTTTTTTGTATTTTAACATAAAGACGACTGTACATGCAAATAACTGCGAAAGAGAGAAAACAAAGAGTTTATGGAAAGAAAGCAATCTAAGGTAGTTGTGCAGGAAAGGCAATGGTGTAAGAAACAACCACAAAATGTTATGTACCTCTCAGCTAACATGCATACCAATTGTTTCTTAAGGTCTCCCCTAAAAATATCTTAAATTCTCCTCTGACATTCCAATATGGCTTGGATCTCCTGTGCTCTATTTCAGGTAAAAAAGCACTTCCCAGTTAACTCTACACCTCAGAATCTGTAAACTGATCTACTCATTCGAAGGTATGTCACTTCTCTATTAAGCGAGCTCTGCAAATATATGTAAGAGCATATCCTAACGTACAATGAGAAAATAAGTCATAATAAGTCAAATAATGACTTATAATAATACCAATAATGAAAAATAAGTTAAATTCTAAAAATGCAATGAGCTGTGCAACAAACACATGCTTTCACTGCAAATTCCTGCAGCTTCGTATTTAAAGACGAGAAGGTACTCATCGACATCAAAGAAACAATTTCCTCCTCCTAAGCAATTCTTTCAATCTCTCTAACAAGATGTTTCCTCACATAAGGAAAAGAAGTCTGAAACATTACACAAAGGTTGGCTTCACTGAAGAATAATGATGAGGTTAAAAAAGATGGCATGAGACAACTGTAGCAGTTCACCGCTTCCAAAAACGAGGAAGGTACTGTTTCATCCCAATTCCACCTCTTACCTGGTTCCAGCTCAGGTACTTCCTAAAACCTCTAAGTTAATTCACATCACTAGAGCTCCAAAAAAAAAAAAAAAAAAAAAAAAGTAATCCATGAAAAAAAAAAGTCTCTTGGATTAGTAAACTGAATTAGCTCTTGGAGCAATCTGAGAAATGCTAGACTTGAAGCTGAATCAAGTACACATTGAGTGGAAGAAGGAAACAAACTAGGAAGGTTGTGTGTAAAAGTGACATGCAGATTCTGTCACTCCAAAGCCTTTTCAGTAATGGCTTTGATAGTCAGATGGTCAAAAACTGACAGCACCAGACATAATAGGAGCAGTTTTTAATGTACTACTCCACTCTAATAACAGTTTTAAATGTAAAAAGAAAGAAGAATCATCTGCTAATGAAAACAGGGGTTAGATGTCGCTAACAAAGAAAAGTAGCTTTTGCTGTGATTTTAAGCACTTGAAAAATCATTTTTTAAATAGGCAGGAATTTTTAATATGCCAAGTCCTCTGATTTCTTGGGCTGACCATGTTAAGCTAACTGTTAGCAAAAGTGCATTCCCTAGATATTTCATTTAAGAATAACTTCATTAAAACTTATGCAGAAGAAGATCACTGGGGAATTTTCTAACATCTCTCCAAAAAAGTATTTCAGTGGAAAAACACATTAAGATATAATTATACACCTGACAAGCAACTTCCTTCAACTGTCACATCTACAAATATAATCTACTGGAGTCACTTAACACAAACTCATAGGAGTTAAAGTCTTCTCATAATAAATGAATTCCTTTAAACATGGAAACCTGAGGAAAAAAATACAGATATCTGAAAGCCTAAAGATACTAAGGTTTTTAGCTTAAGATACAGAGAAAAGTAAGTAGTGTTACAATACAGGCCACTATAATCCTAATGCTGATCCTAGCAGTAACCCAGTTAGACTTATAATGTACGTACTCTAAATATCAACAAGATGATCTGGTAAGGGTTGTAAAGTCACAAGTGTGCCAGCACTGACTCTACCTTAAGACAATATTCCTAACACAGCAAAACAGATGCAGTGCTTTCAATATCACCATTTTTAGGTCAGGTGGAAGAGGGCAAAGAAAGGCTGTACAGCTAACAGACTAATTTCATACTTTCCAGCTTTTTTTAATTTGATTTTGAAGAACCACAATTATTGGTTCTTCAGAAATGGCAGTTTCAGAAGAGAATCAAGTGCACACTATCTGTCAACTCTTTGTCAACTAGTTAACAACTCGTTACAAATAAACTGTGTCCTGGTGAAAAAGGACACAGAAAAGGCAAAAGTACTGACCAAATCCTTCACTGAAGTTTTTACTGGTAAGACTCACCATAAAGGAACTAAGCTCCTGCCAACAGAGAGATGTTTGCAGCAAAGAGGACTTACCCTTACTAAAGGAGGATCAGGTAAGGGAACACTTAAAACAAGTTGAACCCAAACAAGCCCACATGCCCCCACATGATAATCACAGAATGGTTGAGGTTGGAAGGGACCCCTAGAGATCATCTAGCCCAACTCCCCTGCTCCAGAAGGGACACCCAGAGCACGGGGCACAGGGCGGCATCCAGGTGGGTTTGGAAGATCTCCAGAGAAGGAGACTCCACAGCCTCCCTGGGCAGCCTGTTCCAGGGCTCTGGCACCCTCACAGGAAAGAAGTTATTCCTCACATGGAGATGGAACTGCCTATGTTTCAACTTACACCCATTGCCCCTTGTCCTATCACTGGCTACCACTGAAAAGACTTTAGCCCTTTCCTCCCTACATACCCCCTTCATGTACTTACACATATGAATCAGATCCCCTCTCAGCCTTCTTTTCTCCAGACTAAATAGGCCCAACTCAGTCTCTCCTCTTAGGAGAGATGCTTCAGTGCCTTAATCACCTTGGTTGCCCTCTACTGGACCCTCTCTAGAAGCTCCACGTCCCTGTTGTACTGGGCAACCCAAAACTTCACAAAAATAATAAGATAAACCTATGAAAGTCAAGGGAACTGGCCAATATCATTGCAAATGTCATCTCTATCTTTAAAAAGGGCAAGAAAGGGAATGTGGAAAAGTACCAAGCCTGTTAGTTTCACTTCAATCCATGAAAAGGTGATGTGGCAGCTGAATCTGCATACTGTTCTCAGACATATGAGGAACAGGAAGGCAGCTTGGAGTAGCCATTAATTCACAACAAGGAAATCATGTTTTACCAACCCAATAGCCTTCTGTAGCTAGACAAGGAGAAAATAGTGAATGTTTTTGTTATCTTTGTTACTTTGACTTTCAGCAGAAATTCACCAAGGGAAAGTCATGTTTGATCAACTATTTTATTATTTCAACAACGATAACATATTTGCTTAAACTCACTTATATCCATTCTTATGTATGACTCATGGGTGGGGCTTAATTTCTCATGCAAGGCTTCTTCTACACACCACTTTCTGCACACTGCAACATCTTAGTCTTAACAGTTCACAGCATACCTGAGTATACGACTGGTCATGCGACTAAGAAAAGCCATTAACACAATGCTTATTTGATTCTGAGTCTAAGGGCTGGCACAGTTCTTTGAAATAACTGGCTCAGTATGAATCAGCAGAAAAAACGAAAAAGAAAAAAGTTGTCCAAGAAAAAATAAGGATGCCAGAACCTCCACTGAAATCCAAACAAGCCAGATGAGGCTGAAATCACAATTACACCAAGACATCCAGAAGACAGACAGGTGTTAAATCA